TCCGGACGGCCTCTCGCCCTCATCCCACCTACTCCTCACGTGCAGCCCACCCGATCTCCCGCTCGATCGCTTTTTACGGTAAGCGGAGTGGCACGCCTTGTGCTCCTTTCCACATCGAATTAATCAGCTCGTTTGGAATTGTACGTAAAGGGTTCTGTTTTTGCAAATAATAGTCACAGGAGAAATTCAAATATACCCTTCAGGTACTTGGATTTAGGTATTTAATACGTTTAGTAATTATACGGCGCATTCAATAGCTATGCGTATAAACTTGATTAGAGTTCGCAGTATATTCAATAATACAATTAAATTAAACTGACAAGTAAATAACTGATAAACGCAGTAACAATACTAAGTTATTCTTCTAATGAAATACCCACACCCACAGGACCTGTAATAACAATTAATACAATTATTACAAGGGGCTAATGTTATATAACGCAGCTGAAAACGTGTATGGTAGGTGTCAAATAGTGTTCATTTCCGAATTTGAGGTTCTTCTAATGATGCAGTAAAAACCTAATCATAAGCGCCAGGATGTTGTTGTGAAGTCAAATGAATCACGTTTATTTCTCTGCGATGTACATGGCTGAGAAAACTCAGAGTATTTTTATTTAAAAAGACGCATTAGTAGCGTGAGGACATCAAGAATCATATGACTTATTATACATACATTTTGTGAGTTGGTGATTCGTTAAAGTAAAGCTTCTGTTGAAGGAAATTGTTTATGAGTATTTGTTATTAGAAAATCGTAGAAAATTTGCTTCATTTACATTATGTAGATTAAAATATAGAGATATGGGACTAGAAATAATTTTGGCAGAGAACAGTTTGGCATTAAGGATCATATTCAGAATGTTCAGTAGTTGATTAAATTTATAAGACCGTAACGAGCATTCTTGAAGATAAATCCACGATAAAGCATTTGAAAAGAAGTGCGATTTAAGCCTTGATTTTCACCAGGTGGCACCTTCGCGTAATTTCCGAATCTCTGGCGCCAGCTATGGAACACTGGTTCTCTTTAATACATTCAGATCGTAATTCTCCGCATTCCATGAAAACGCAGTCGAAGAGCGCTCGATTTAGCCCGATTAAACGATAACCGAATTTAAGAAGGTGAGAAGGCAGATATGATACTCACACGTCTGAATAAAACGGACTACATAATTTCTAGAGTTCATCACTGAAACTCGTTTCAACAAGAATTCACACGAAGTCAAATAAGAATACTAAAATTGTAAAATCCTCGAAAGTAAAATAAGGCGAAAAAATGTGGGAAAATAGTTCCATGACGCAGAACATTTGCGGTCATGCGTCAGAATATGAATACTTCCTGAGGCAGGGATCCCTCTTCATTCCCTTCTCGCGGATCCCCACGCGCCAAAGATCGTGACCTGGCGAGTTAAGGCAGCCACTTTGCCAAAAACGGCCCCGCCCGGGCGCAACATCCAGGAGGGGAGGGGGCAGAGTTTAACAAACGTAAGCATTCGTTTTAAAGCATCGTAAAGTATATTTCAACAAAACACCATGAATCCATAAATTTGCATGAATTTTAAAGCGGTTAGGTTATTATGGAAATTGTATTCTCGAGCAATGGTAGTTGTAGAAAAGCAACGTCGCGAGGGAGGAAGAGGGCGAGAACGGAGAAAGAGAGCGCCGGGGGACGCGAGGACGCCCCGCGGAGGCGGGGAGTGTGCGGTTGGCGGAGCGGGACGGGCCGGGGGCGGGGATTGGCGGGGAGGAGAGGCGCGCAGAGAGGATTTTATTTCTGCGGCTCGGCTGCGCTCAACGCCAGGCGACCTTTAGCAATCTTGTTGAGTGTCGCTGGACCGGAAAACGCGCCCCGGCCGCCGCCTGGCAAGAACTGCCTGGATATTGTAATATGCTGCCGCTGCTATTGACAGCCGCCTTCAGCAGATCCGTGGGCCTTGGCCGCGCCAGCTTCGCGGCGCCCAACGCGAAATAAGGGATTCATCTCCTTATTTAGAAGTGGGCTCTCTCGTTGGCAGTTCGTCAGATTTAACTTCGCTTATGCGCTTTTTTTCGTCAGCAGTGGTCTCAATGTGACCTTTATTGCTTATTTTGTTATCTAAAAAAAGATCGAAATTTGCTGTACTCAGTGGCACACTGAAGAAGGGGGCATAATGAGGCTTCAGATCCAATCAGAAGCCAATGATGCATATTAAAAAATATAAATTTTATTACTTTTGTTTATTTTCAATTCTATATCAATTTTCAATTCAATATCAACGAACGTCATTCTGCAAACCTCTGGTTTACGTTATAAAAATTAACCATACTCAAAAAATTAAAATACATTTTATTTTCAGCAATAATGCTTTATACGTTAACAAGTTGGCAGGACCTATAGCCTCCCCTCACACACACCCAGAAAAATCCTAGGTGCACCTGTGGATATGTTTGTACCCTCAAACATATTTATGTTTTGATTTTATGAATTTTATACTTAGCACTATGGAGTACTTCCTGTGGTTATACAAGGGGTTGGAAAGGAAAACGGAATTTCAAGACACCATATTTTGACGGAATATTTCAACTTTTGACGAAATGATTTTATTTGCAAGGAGATATTGAATACTGGAAACGTTTGACGAGATTGTAAACGCATTATATCCGGTTTCGAATCAAATCAATCTGCTCACAAATAAACTTTATTGAAGCGCCGTTGAAAGCCATGTTTACCAAATTTTCTTTCAATAAACTTGAAAAGTACTGAATACCCAATGAACTTTAATTTTAAAATATTCCATTCTTGGAAACAACGTCTCTCATAAGCATAATATATGTAATTCTTTATAGATCAGAATTCGCCCACAAATAAAACTTCGTCTGATATTACGTTTTGTCCCGTTCAAAATGTCATTTAATCTAATTCCAAAGTACCGCCGTCCGAACGCAACAATTCTAAACTTCCAATCTGAGTGCACTACATACCAGTAGGAAAACACACGTTCCTTTGATTTACAACATAAAATACAAATATTTTGAAAAGGAAATAACAAGCGGAATACATGAAAGCAGACACATTAATTGGGAGTTTGGCTGTTTGCAAGAGGACCGGCGCACTCGCTCACCATGAAATCGCCATATTCGTTGTCGTGGCATCTTCCCTTTCATGATACACTAATGACGGGCTCAGTCAAAAGCGAGGCGGTCCCTGCCAAAGGGCCGGTCCTTAGTGAAGGGCCGGCGACAACGCACAGGGCGCCGGGGCTAGCCGAAAGAGCAGCGGTCTTCCCACTTGTTCACTGCGACCGGACACAGAGTGGACATTTGCTTCTCTCATCAAATACTGGGCGGGTTCTTCGATATTTCCAACCTGTGTCCACTCACGGATTGGGAATACGGACTCGCCAAATGTGAACGACGGACCGTTCAATATCTGACAAACACCGGATGCGATATTATTTTCCCGTGCGTTAAAATGTGCTCGCGAGGTATTGTTTACCTTCCGCGCGCGAGACGAGGAAAATTCGGTGACCGGCTATTTCCGAGCTCTCAGCGAGGGAAGCGAGCAGGGATGTGTGTAGCGCGGAGCAAAGTTTGGGCGGCGGCACCGAAGTGGTACTAGTGGTCTACGCGGGTAGCAGAGCTCGTCTAGCTCAAAAGCCAATTTTCTGTGAAGGACTTTTAGTCGGATGCGGTGGTGACGGAGCTTCGCCTCGCAGTTGATTCCTTAACCTTTCTATAGAGGGAACTCCCTCAAAATTGTTAACCCTTAAGCAGAGGCGCAGGGGGGACCACAGCATTCCAGCTTTATAAATACGATTCTGGGAAAACTGTATCGCTTGCGTGCTTGCGGTTTGGAGCACCTCTCTAAGAAGGTATTCTTTTGTTGAAGCGAGCTTTCCAATGTTTATTTTTAGATTAAGAGGAACTCCAATTCCACAGTCAATCAATATTAAATGTAAAGACATTACACAACGTATGCAAATACCGAATCATGTTAAGTATCACTTCTACTTTGAATATTTTCATATAAATTACGGAGCACTTGTAGTATTAACTTTGATAATATTTTGTACCAGATGAATTCTTATGTATTATCTGAGATTCCACCCTCTCAATTAATGAAAACACGGCTTCATTCCTGGCATAATAGAACTGAAATTAATAGATAGAATGGATTGGGGTCAAAATAATTAGATAAAATCGATTAGTGTCAATATTGCTTCACTTACTTCAAAATATATTCTTCATCGCTAACTAATGTACTTCTCATATCACCTTTATCATTATCTTCCCAAGAAAAATGATGATACAATGTCGCAAGTACCCACCCTCCTCTGTATGCAGAGTCAGCATCTCATCCGGCAGAGGAAATTCGTAATTGTGATGATGTCTTGATATGTGCGTTTGTAACAATAATAGGAGTGGGAGGTCGAAGAAATTGCAACCCTGTCAAATAAAGACTGTACTGTACAGCTAAAAGATTGTGCGAGTTCTTTACAATACGCATTTTTATATTAAGTGGCATTATTATTTGAAAATGTGCTACAGATATTGCTTGTTATATTCATATTTCGGTAGCAAATTTCCTGTTGCTAATTTTATCACGTGATACAACATTACACCAAAAATTATACTGCTTCACCGTATGAAGCATTATTCGTCTCCAAACATTACTAACTAAAATTGAAACCGATATTTTCATACAAAAATCATCAGGATATCACAATGTTCCTTCTGATACGAGTTTTATTAATAATGCTTTCTCTCAAGTATTATTATTGGATTACTTTTTGTTAATCTATAAAGGATCGAATTCAAAGTGATCACTGACAATAATTGCTCCAAAATCACCCAATTTTCATTAACAAACAGCCTTTATTCTATGAGAAGTGGCAACGAGTGACCACTCATTCGTGTAAGGGAGTTCACCTGTTCTCTTATGTATTCGGTAAGCCTCTGCTTTTCAGAGTAGCTAATGTTCTTATGCGACACACATATCTTGTATGGAAATCGATGGCTAATTCCTCAGAACAACTATAAGCAAAAACTCTACATTTAAAGTGTACAATACGAATAACGATCTCGAAAGCTCACAATTAAGCTAAAGCCGTTTATATGAAGGTATTGAGTATGCACACTCCATGACCACTCAGTCACGAAACCGCCGGTGAAAATGAGGCGTTGCTACGTTTCCGAACACGTAAGGAAGCACTCGTCCAGGGTGCACGAGGATCGTCCATGAAGCACAAAGATTTACTAGGGGCCACTTGTTTTAGGGAATCACATATCGCATAAATATTCGTTAAGTGTCGACTACGAAAGCAGCCCTAAGAGACACGATATCTACAAAAATATCTGACTCCTCTGGCACTCAGAATTCTGGAGGATAGAATTATTTTTTATTTAATTCATTTCTGTGAAAAAAAGGAGAAACTGTATGTGATCTGTGAGGGAAAAGTATAATCTGCTTACGTTGTGTTGGGCTCCAGAATCTCTTCCCCGCAAGACATATTTGGATAAATGAAAGCACTAACAAAGCAAGGTTTGCCACATTTGTATTAACTACACATATTAGCTCTCGAATTAAAGAAACTTTTTTCGTCGGTAAACAAACTAGAGATATGATTTTATAATATTTCTAACAAATTAGCAATCCAAACCCGGCTCTACTCTTACCACAACTAGTAAACGGAGAGCTCAACAAAAACTGCGCATAGTGAAGCTACGTTTATGTCCAGAAGCAAAACAAGCGGCCACATCAGCACTTGTTTAATGGATCAGGGAAAATAGACGCAAAACCTGAAAGATATTGGGGTTGTTGACTTAGAATTTGAAGACAAATAAAATAAAGGGGAGGGGGAGGATAATCTGGGGAGATCGGCTGTCTTGCTGGTGTTATGTCCAGAAAACGTACGTAAAGAAATAAACAGTTAACAAATGTTTACTGTACATTTGATGTAATTTGGAATTCTAGTACATTCCGATAACAATGCTTAGTTCCAAATAATCACATGTACAATAATCAAAGCAATGTCGTTACGAGAAGAAATATCAGTTCAGACCCAAAGTCACCAAAGCCCAATTAGAAAACAAGTTTGTTGGTAAAATCAGCGTAGGCAGCATCACAATAACTACTATAACACTTTGGAATGCACTCACAAAACCAGACAGACAGCTTCGTCACTCGCGACTCTTTATGTCCCCCCGGCGACGTCATCAGTGCCTTGCTTCAACCTGCCGTTACAGGGCTGTTTCCACTGCCTAGCGAGCCTCAACAGCGGGCGCTGCCCAGTTGCGCGCGCCCTACAACTTAAAATTATTTTACGTATTCATAACACTCCTCTCCTTGCGACCCTGCACAGATGACACTTCACCCCGCGTCTCCGTCCCCAGCCGCTCTCCGCCCGCGCACCTGCCATCCAACGCACAATGGCCACGTCATCAGACAGGTCGCTCCTCCTCCAACCGGCGTCAGCGCTCCGCCACCTGCAGACGTTTGCATTCCCAAGCGTCCACGCGGAAATCACCTGCTTCTCTTCGTGCGGGTTCATGTGACACTTTAAGCGCCGGCGTGTGCATGGCAGCGTTCATAATATTGGATCACGTGACCCCAGCGATGCTTCTTTCTCTCTTCGAAGGCCATCGAATGTACATAAATGATCACTCGTTGTGTGTACAAATGATTCGCAATCGTCATTATCAATTGCAGATAATTTTTAAACCCTAAAAACGAAACGTACATTCGTTATCTTGTTAAAAGATTAACGTCACTCCCTTTCAAATTAACCATAACACACAAATTTACAGATTTTAATACAATATTGCAACATGGGATTTTTTTTTGCACAGAAATGTTTTTGTTATCTATGGCCTATAACTCTTTTGAGTTTTCAAATGTTATACTGAAGTAACGAATAAGTAATTCCAAAACTATTAGAAATTTGAAAGCACAGTTGCCGTTTTAAGGTGTGTATCGTTTTTAAACACAAGGCCCTCTGAGGAAGTCAGGGTGTGCATCTACGTGACACTCAAGGCACCGAAGTGGAAATTAGTCATCATCCACATTCCTCCCTATCGCGTGTCTTCACTCTCATCTTTCTGTCTCTCATTTTTTCGTCACCTTGAACGCTGTGTAGTCTGTCCCCTCTCTGTTTCCTCTCTGTTTCGCGTTTCGCTCATTATCTCCAACCTGGCGTCTTCTCGACGAGAAGCTCTCACTCACGTAGAAAATTTTCGCGACAGCGTTACAGAAAACCCACGTCTGACACCGAACGCGGAAGTCGATGAACAATGGACGGAGGAAGAATATACAGAATAGGCATGCCTGTTCCGAGCTACTGGTTGTTGGACGAACCGGCAATATATTACTGTCAAAAGGTCGTGGTAACGGAGAAATTCTACGTCCCATACTGATTTTTTCTCGCCTATTGCGTACTTACGTAGTAACGATAACCTATTGTAATAATTCAGCTAACTGGTGACTTTTTGTCACAATAACTCGCTGGATTCTGGTTTCGAAAAGGTAAATAAACTTTGCTCTTGTATGTAGTACATTACTTCCTATGTCACGTTGTGTAGTCAGAATCCGCGATTTGTTGGTACTTAATACCGAGAAACTAGTTTACTGCCAAATAACTATCTGTCCGACCGTTCCCGGACAGCACTAGCGCCTAAATGTTTTCTCAAAAACTAACATTTCCCCTTCAATCTGGTCGAACTCAAGGAACCCTGCGAATTTAAAATGGCTATTTTGATTTTTGGGCTTACTTTACACGGAGTCTCAACAAAATTTTCAATTTTTTTCTGAAAATGGCTTCAATTTTTAATTATTTTTTTCTCGCATTGTTCACGTAGACAATGACTCATAAGTCACTTTCGGTGAACTACTGAATTTTTAATAATTGAGGAAGCTCAAACTTTTTCAACGTCTTCCTACAACTACAATATTAAAGGTAGATATTTGTTTTTAATGAAAGCTTTAGTAAAGATAAATATTCAAATAAGATCAAGTACATTAAATATACTTTTTAAAATTGTTTGAAAGTACGAGCAGTTTTCCATAATTTTTCGTTAAAAAAGAAATTTTAAAAACAATATTTTAACAAAAATGGTGCAGGTCCCATTTTTTGTGAGCTCGCAGTATTATCAAAACTTGGAAAAAAATTGACGAACTACAATATTTGAAGATAAAGATTTTTTCGTTGGTTTTCGGTTACGTTGAAGTATTACTTCCATTTTTATATTCACAAATCAGTAATAGTAGTTAGAATACTCTACGGTTACATTTCTTGTAATTACTCATTCAACATTTTCAAGATATCCACAAAACATCATGAATGGAAGCAAGTTGATCAATACATTTTTTTTAAATATGTCTTTTTTGAACCTTGGTAACTTTTGAAGACGATATGAGAGATTATAAAGACATGTCAACTACTGCTGCATCATACAGGAATGTCAACAACTGCTCCCACTTCATTTCTTCGGGCAAGAGAAAGTTCAATTTTATAACTTCTCCTATACTCCATTCATTTAAGAAAAATCGCGTACTTTCCTGTAATTAATTACTCTTCAGCTCGTTTATAAAGCACGCCAACAAGAACTCGAGAAAACTGTTTGCCACTTATTACGATGATGGGGTGTTGAAAACCTTTAACTTACATTTATCTTATACTTTGTCCTTCTTTGTAATAAATAATGTGATAAATTACTTAACACCGACTTTATTTTGTTTCGTACGTACGTTTTTAACATTGTTATGGCACTATACAAGTGATGGATGAGGTCTAAACACAAGGTAAACTTCCAACTGTGAATGTATAGAATTGTTCTTGTCTTCCTGAGTCTTTCATTGAATCATTCTACCCTTCCCATGCATGCAATAGTCAACACGAAGCATATAGTCAGCATGAAAGCAGCATATAGTCAGCATGAATAGTCAGCAAGAAAATTACAAACTTGAATTAAGATTTGTTACACTGTTTTCATTCAACTAAGTTCTTGATGTTACACTGCGTACATCACTAACGACAACAGATTTTGACCTTCTTTAAACCCCTGAAAGTATACAACAATAAAAATTAATTTTGATATAACATTGACCTTCTCAGAACCACCAATGTCGAAATAAAATAGTTCATTTTTTGACAATTTGAAACCAAATAACTTCAAGAGTATTTAAGAAGAGAAAAATATTACGAACAAAGCATATGACACACTACTAAGTGATAGATTGGATTGAGTTAAACATGTATTGTGATATAATGACCAAGGTCTCAACTGATTGAGTAATTAATTAATGTTTCCGGGCACGCCAGGTGCTATGGACATTTGCCCGTTAATGAAATGTATTGCCTATCGTGGGAGGTGGCGGTGTTCCTTTTCCGATGGATGGTTAGATTAAGCGCCGAACTACAGACTACACGTCGGTTTTCTGGGGTAGTGTTAGTGTGTGTGTAAGGTGAGAGAATAAGCCATGGAAGAGGATCGCGCGCGGTCTGAGTCCAATTTGTTAGACTACTCATATGGTATTAGCCGGTATTTATAGGAGAAACGAAGGAAAACTACAATCAGTGCCACTGTCCGCTAGAATTCACCAGACTGCGGCTGTACTGCTGAATTCGACCTAGCTAGTGCAACTATCTCAAGTGTATGATGGTTACTAGCGATTCTAGAGAAAATTGAAATAAAACAAAGAAACTTCAAACTTCATACTAAGCCCTCAATACTGCATTACCAATTCCTAAAATTCATGGGAAAGAATTTTGCAGTTTCAGACAAATGACTATCAAATTCACGAATTATTTTATCATTGAACAATTTCCTTATTCACTGAAAGATTTTTTTTCTAAAGCGAAGGACTTTTCAAATTAAAGATGATGGGACTATGTCCTTAAATATTCAGACTACTTTTAAAGAGGTTTTTCAATATTTGTTTACTAAAAAGGCACTGTGTTTGCAATGTTCTCATTGAATGCATTTCAATCATTAAACATAAAATGTTTTATAAAACAAAAGCTGCAAATTCAATTTTGTTTCTAAAATTCAAAATAATAAACATTTAAACGAGACAAAGCATTAAAGTTAACAAACGCATCACCACTGTTGTTATTCAATTCCGATTCCTATTCTGTAGAATTGAACATATTTCTATCAAAAATATTTCTCTTCTCTTCTTCTCTCATCTTCATTTTATTCTTCTTATTATCATTACATCCATGATTTTGTGGTGTTTTCTTAAATAAACGTTTTATTCTATATTTGATAGTTGGCATTGGTATTCTCACCTGAAAGTAATTTACTTTTCCAAAAATTTCAATACAGAGGTATCACTTCGGAAAGCTTCTTGGCCCTGGAAAGGTTTTTCACATGTTCCACGTCCGGGTTGTGTATCTGACTGATATATGCAAATCTAACTCAAAGTTCCGGCGTACTACGAAAGTCCGCGTTGCTCTCGGGAGCGGGAATGGGAGACAGAAGTCAGGCAAGGAGAGGACGAGTTTCGCAACTCTCGCACTCGGTAAGGCGCCGCACGTTCAAGAGATTCAATCAAGCAAGGAATATTGGACTCTTCATTTATGTCGCACCAAGATTGTTGTAAGTAGGCATAGAGTTTTTACACTAAACGGCGGAGTAAGATAAAAATAATAAATGTGACGGGTATAATTCGCTTAGTGATCCAGCAATTTGCCGACGATTATTAAATGTGTAAACTCATAAAAAGTTATTCATAATCAGCATGTTTCGCAGAAATAATAATAGAAACACTCAAGTTTTGAAGACATTGTCGTAAGTATTTAAGTTCCCTTCCTTCACGGAATATAAATGTATTTAAATTGCTGTCCGACATCCTAATATTCCACATAAAGGTATTTTCCTTAGAAATTTACTGGCAGTATTACCTTCATAGATATTTGAGATGCTGACGTACTACATAAAATTCTCGGTGGAATGAAATAGCCATTCTTACGAAACGCTGAGGGGGAGCTGATAAATGTTATGGCATCTATCAGGCCGACTGTTTGCATGGAGGAATTGAATCCGAGAAAGGGAGTTTTATTACTGGACCTAATGCCCGGAAGAGGGAGTGCGCCCTCGGCGGTGGAGGCGTCGGGGGCGGCGGCGGCGGCGGAGGCCACGGCCGCGGGGCCGGCTCGGCGCCCTCGCCGCCGGGGAAGACGAACCGTAAAGAAGCGTGGATATTTACGACTGACAAGGCAGGCTGCGCGAGCTGGCGGAGAGGGGGAGGAAGGCTCGGGGCCAGGGAGGTAGTGAGGACGGCAGGGACGGGCCGTGGAGGACGGTGAGGTCGGATGACGCGGTGGTGAACGTATGAGGCTGCTACACCTTACCTGCGCCGATGCACCCATTTTCATCCCAGCGCAGCTTCATCCTGTCCCGAGCTGTCCGAGTGAATTCCTTCACCTCTGCTTAGGATCAAAACATGTGTAGACATTTTCTACGTATTCTGTATTGCCTTCACGACTTTTAATATCTGCTACAAAGAGAGAAAAATACGGTTTTCTAAGGATTTCACATCTAATATAACTATTCATTCCTCTTTCTGGATATAAGGTCAA